GCTGGTGGACATGGAGACGCTGTGTGCACCACCGCCGCCTGCGCCTGCCGCCCCCCGGCCAGGCCCCGCACAGCCTGGGCCATGCCTGTTCCTCAGCAACCCCACACGTGACACCATCACGCCGCTATGGGCCTCATCTGGCCACCCTGCGCGTCCTGGACGCGCCTGCTCGGCCGCCTGCTCAGAGGAGGAGGATGAGGAGGAGGAGGAGGAGGAGGAGGACGAAGATGAGGCCGAGGACAGTGTGGGGCCCCCTGGGGGGCGGGCCCCAGGCTCCACTGCACCGCTGGATGCATCGTTGGTGTATGATGCGGTCAAGTACACGCTGGTGGTGGATGAGCACACGCAGCTGGAGCTAGTGAGCCTGCGCCGCTGTGCTGGCCTGGGTGAGGACAGCGAGGAGGACAGCACAGGGGAGGCCAGCGAGGAGGAGGCCAGTGCCACACTGCTAAGCAGTGAGCAGGGCCCAGCAGACGCCTCTCCTGACAGCCCTGACCTCACCTTCTCCAAGAAGTTTCTCAACGTGTTTGTCAACAGCACCTCTCGATCCTCCAGTAAGTTTGAGGTGGGGACAAAAGGGAGCCCCAGGTCCCACGTGGCCCCCGAAGTGCATGGTGTCCTGACAATGTGGGGTGGTCGGGGCTCGCACGACCCTCTGTCCAGGAACTTGGTGGCTGCAGCTCTCGGCCAGGCCTTCAAGCACTTTCCTCCCCTCCCCCACCCGCTGCACCCACACCTGAGTCCCTGCCGCCCCCCATCTCTGTCTCTCAGGCACAGAGTCCTTCGGTCTCTTTTCCTGTCTGGTCAACGGGGAGGAGAAGGAGCAGACCCACCGGGCTGTCTTCAGGTACAGCTGCCTGAGTGGTACCAGAGTCCATCCTCAGACACTGCAGGACACTGCTAGACAGGACCCACACAGGCCTGCCCCAGCCTCCTAACCTCCCCTCTGATGTCAGGTTCATCCCTCGACATCCAGACGAGCTGGAGCTGGACGTGGATGACCCGGTGCTGGTGGAAGCTGAAGAGGATGACTTCTGGTTCCGTGGCTTCAACATGCGCACTGGGGAGCGCGGCGTATTCCCAGCCTTCTATGCCCATGCAGTGCCTGGCCCTGCCAAGGATCTGCTAGGTGAGGCCCCATCCCCAAAGGGCAGCTTGTCATTCCAGATGCTTCCTCCATCCCCTCCTGACCTGGGCCTGTGTGACCCCCAGGGAGCAAGCGGAGTCCTTGCTGGGTGGAGCAGTTCGATGTGCAGTTCCTGGGCTCTGTGGAGGTGCCCTGCCACCAGGGCAATGGCATCTTGTGTGCAGCCATGCAGAAGGTCAGTGTGGAGGTGGCGTGGGCACAGGTGAAAGGCTGTCACAGCTCGTGGTGGTTCTAAAGACCACCGCCTCCTCCAGCAAGGGGATAGGATGGCTTGGGATAAGTGTGCCTCTCTGAGCAGGCCCTGAGCACACAGACCTGGGATAGAGTGCAGCCGCTGTCCCTGTCACCTCCAGTCTCTGGGCCAGTTTAGTGGGGACTTCACCTTTGTGCCAGCCCCTCTTCCCCTTCATCCACTTTCTCCTGTCTGAACATCCAGACCAACTCTCATGGCTCTCTCCCTGGGAGCCATTCATTCACATGACAGATACTCAGCAGTGCCTGCCCGTTTGCCAGTCCTGGGGATGGTTCTGGGGGCCAGCAGGAAGCAAGATGGACCGCCACTACAGCCATGAGGTCACAGTGAGCAGGCAGTGAGGAGCTGGGGGCTTGGTGGGTTCCTGTCACCTGAGCCAAGAGGAGAAGCTGGTGGAGAAACAAGGGAAAAGTCCTCAGGGTGCAGAGTGAAACCCAAGTGGCCAAGGCCACTTCTCATCTTCCAGTATCATGCCTCACAGTCTTTGGTGCCAAGTCTTCAGGCTCTGAAAAGACCAGACAGCTCCTGAGGGCAGTGAGAGGCCCTTGTAGGCTCCAAGAACCTTTCTCCCCCTCAACTTCTTCCTCAGATCGCCACTGCCCGGAAACTGACTGTCCACCTGCGTCCTCCTGCCTCCTGTGACCTTGAGATCTCTCTTCGGGGTGTCAAGCTGAGTCTGAGTGGAGGAGGGCCGGAGGTGGGAGCCTGGGGACTGGGGACCGGGGGAGGCTGAGGCGTGGGGTGAGGCACGGGGGTGGCCTTGAGCGGCCCTGGCCTTCCCTGTCTCACCTGGTTGTCCCTGCCCTTCTCTGCTCAGTTCCAGCGCTGCAGCCACTTCTTCCAGATGAAGAACATCTCCTTCTGCGGCTGTCACCCCCGAAACAGCTGGTGAGAGCCTACCCTTCCCCGGGGTCCCCACAAACCCCAGGGCCTCGTGTTACAGTCCCCCCACCAGCTTGTGCACCTGTTCGGACCTGAGCTCTTGGACCATAGTGGGGACACGGATGCACAGATATGTAGACGTGGAAGGGCTGGCAGCATCAGTGGGTGGTCGGGGAGACATCTAGGTGGGCCCTGGTAGGGTGACCTGTGGAGGAGCTGAGTTCTCCAGAACTGGGGAAGGCAGAGCTTAGAAGGTGGATGGGAGATGGTTGGGGGACTAGATCATCTTGTTTGGGACAAGCTGGACCAAGGCTGTGGGGATATGCTGGTGAGGACCCCAGGCTCTGTGACCAGGTACACGGGGAGCAGCCGAGGTGTTAAGAAATAGCACTGTTTTGGTTGGAGACATAAGCCCTTTTGACTATTTGGGGAGCTTATTATATTTCATCCTATTGGTGACGGCACCACAGAGGGTCCTCATGGAGGGTAGCCTGGGCAGGCTGACCAGCTGACTCCGGCTGTTGTGCAGTGTGGATTGACCAGGTACAGCTAAGGAGATGGGAGTGAGGGTGCCATTCGCCTGGGTAACGGGCAGCAGTGACCCGTACAGAGGAAGGCGATGAAGAGAGCAGTTGGACATGGGGAGGCTGGAGGGGCCGTTGATCATGCTTCTGGGTCTCCGGCTGTTGTGCAGTGTGGATTGACCAGGTACAGCTAAGGAGATGGGAGTGAGGGTGCCATTCGCCTGGGTAACGGGCAGCAGTGACCCGTACAGAGGAAGGCGATGAAGAGAGCAGTTGGACATGGGGAGGCTGGAGTGGCCGTTGATCACATGCTTCTGGAGATGAGGAGGGATACCCGGCAGGAGATACAACGGGCAGGCGGGAGAGGAGAGAAGGGGAGGAAAAGCTGCTGGGGTGGAGCGGGGGAGGGTGCGTGTGTGCATGTGTGCACCTGCGTGTGCAGCTTCCTCCCCAGGCGCAGACCCTACCCGGCAGACCCGGATATCCCACATGAAGGAGAGCGGAGGCAGAACCCAAAACAGTACTGAGCACAGGCTCTGGGGCAGGAGGAAGGGGCCGGAGGAAGAGGTGCTCAGCCAGGGAAGTGGGTGAAACAGGTGTGAGGTGTTGTGGTCCCTTGGAAGCTGTGACGAGAACTGGGGACTGTTTGCTGGCTGGAAGACGGCCTGTCACTCTCTGACCTTGCTGAGGAGGGAGACAGTTTGCTGGGACGTTCTGTCCATGTGTTCCTCAGAGGTGTGCGCACAGGGCTCAGATCAAACACAGTGCACCCTGGGGCCACTGTCAGGAGACAAAAAAAAGCCACCTGCTTCTCCTCAGAGGAGACTGTGGTGCCTCAGGTTTAGTTAGACCTGCAGGTTGGACCCTGCCCAGCTGCAATTCCAGGAGGGAAAAAGGTGGCCATGCAAGTGATGTTGCCCCAGTGTGGGGTGGGTAGGCAAGCTGAGCAGCACTGTCCACTCAGACCTTCCTGGCATCTGTGGCTTTAGATCCTCTTCCACAAGGAACACTAAGGAAGCAGACGCGTACGTAACTTGCTCCACTGTGAAGTTGATGTAGCTCAGGAAAGTGCTAGGCACTCTGGGTTTGGATGAAGCAGGGATATGCAGTGTTAAGATCACAGACTGCCCGGTGCACTTCCCACGCTACCACAGACCAGCTGTGTGTCTTTGGTCAAGAGACTGACCTCCCTGTGCTTAGCTGTCTGTCTGTAAGGACCCAGAGAGGCCAATGTGAGTTAATACTAGGGAGCACTTGGGATGATGCCTGCATAACAGTGTGCAGCATCTGGGGTTAGCAGTTATAAGTACCCGAGACTGGTCTTGTGATTTGTTTGTGGGCAGCAGACCACAGTGTCCTGGCGGTGATACTGTTGTGTACTTCCTATCTGGTGGGGCCACAAAACCCCACAGCTCTGAGAAAGTAGATCATATTGGCCACAGTTCTGGATGGGGTCTGGAGTCCTGCACTGCAGAACTGGCCACCCCTCCTGCTGCACAACGGTACACATTAGTGTTTGGGAAGAAGAGAGCAGGCAGATTTGGAAAGGCACAGTGACCAGAGCTGCTGGGGCAATAGAGACACTGCAGCCGTGGGAATGAGGAACGGGGAGATGAGCTGCAAATGTTTGCGGGATTACAGGAGAGGGGCAGCCATGTAGGAGGCCCGGGCCAGGCAGAGCCAGATCTTAATCGCAGGACAGCATGGAGGTGCCCTGGCTGTCTGGGAATTTGAGCACTGGCTCTTCCTGGTTGCCTGGCACCGTGCCTCACCTAGGACCCAAATAAAGCACCTTCAGATCATGCACTCCTGTCCTCTCCCCAAGCCTCTTGTCCCCGCGTCTCGTCTCCAGATCTTTTAGGGAGTCAGTGTTCTGATGCCCCTCAACCCGCCTTCCCCACAGCTACTTTGGCTTCATTACCAAACACCCTCTGCTGAGCCGCTTCGCCTGTCACGTCTTTGTGTCTCAGGAGTCCATGAGGCCAGTGGCGCAGAGCGTGGGGTGAGCGATGCCTGTGGAGGTGGGAAGGGAGCTTGGGGGAGGGTTTGGGGGGGTCTCAGAGAGCACAGCAGTGTGCACAGGAACGATGGGCTGGTGGGCAGGGTTGGATGGCGGACTGAGGCGAGCACCTCTTCCACAGCCGTGCCTTCCTGGAGTACTACCAGGAGCACCTGGCGTACGCCTGCCCCACAGAGGACATCTACCTGGAGTAGCCACCTGCACCCTCAGCTCCCACCGCACCGCTCCAGGGCAGCTGCAGCTGGGGTGTCTCGAAGCCACCATGGCTTTGGCAAAGACTGGATGGGGCATGTGGGGCCCCACATCTGTGGGCGTCTTCGGGCTGAGAACTCTTATCCTCCATCCCCAGGGCATGGCTGTAGGGGCCACAGGGGGTGGTGGGGCCCCTGGTACCTGCCGCTTTTCAATGCATTCTTTCTTCTGTCCTCAGTCCTGACCCTCACTTGCCCTCTCCTCCCTCTGTCTTTGCCCCTTTCTGTGCCTGCCGACCTTGCCCTTTGCTCTCTAGTTTGGGGTCAGAACGGGGGTGGGGGTGTGGAGAAAGGTGAGGCTCAAGGTGACCGGTGATGCAAGCTCCCCAGAGACCCCCTTCCACCCTTGCCCTGTAATTTATAAAGGAATTTTAATTTTTATAGTGAATCTCGAGGGACCATCCTATCCTTGACCACAGGGACAGAGAGGGACCCATCCTACAGGGAGCTGGGGGAAGCAGGGAGCAGTTCCTGAGGGAGCCTTGGTGCGATCAGGAGTGGTTCTTGATGCCCACCGAGGCCCCCATGCTGCTAGGAGGAGGGGGCCCTGCCAGGCGCCGCCCCAGTCATCTGCTTTGCCGCTACACCCCCACAGTCCAGGAAACTCTGCCCATGTGGGCACGCTGTGTACATGGGCCCTGCCCGTGGCCTCAATAAACTCTGCTTGGTGTGAGCCTGGCTGTTTCTAGGAAGTACCACCCGTGTCAGAAGAGATGGAGACCCTGGGGCTGTGGGAATGGAGAGAACCCCTCAGAACTTCCAGAACTCGTGCTGGGAGGGAGTGGTGGGTGAGGCCTCCTCAGGTCTGGAGGCCCTCGGAGGTCCCCACTTACACTTTCTTGGCGTGGAGGAAACCAAGGCCAGAGAGAAGGCACTGGCTACAGCATCGAGTCCTTCCCATGTGATGGTTGGAGAATGGCATGGACTCTTTGAAAAACAATGTACAGTATTTAGATCTTAAAATTGAGATTTAGAAAGCTCTGCACAGGGCCAGGGATTTAGCTCAGTGGTTCCGGCGCCTGCCTTGCAAGCGCAAGGGCCTGAGTTCGATCCCTCCCTGGTA